AATCAGTTTTAGAGGAAAAAAGACACAGGTTTCCATATTTTTAGCATCCTGGGGTTGCTAAGCTTTGCAGTTCCCATTCTCTTTTCAAGAGATAAAAGCAGTGACAGCACCCACAACTGCTCATGGAAACCAACAGGTCCTCACATGTATGCAATCAAAGACACAAACCAAGCCAGAGAGTTCAAACCTTCCTTCTCTGCTTGCTCCCCACTGAATGGCCACTAGAAGTAACTCACATTTCCTCAGCTTCTCATGTGGAAGAACAGCAGCAGAACAGCAGCGTCACTGCTGTCACTGCAGAGCTTTGTGCCTATCCTTTGCCTCCTGCAGTAACTGCTCAGGTTGTCTTCCTCTCTCATATTCATCTCCACAGCTAAGTCCTGCTGCTTCTTTTCTCCAGGAAATCCTCCAAAACAGCCAGCTCTTTTGCCACCAAATCCATAAAAAGCCCTAAAATCTAGGCAATAATAACACAAATACAGCAGTATTTCTAGGGAATGTTTTATTTTCTTAGATACAGGCTACAAAAAGATGAAATTAAGGTTGAGTATGCACTGGTGATTCGTGGTTTTGGAAATACCTGGTCTTCACCAAAAAAAAAAAACACAAAAAAACAAAAAAAAAACCAACCAAACAAACAAAAAATAGGTATTGAAAAGAAATCCTCAAATGATTGCTACCAACTTAAGCTACAAACACGCTACATCTGGAGAAGCACGATCAGAGCACTCTAAATAACCTTACTTCTGCATTATAATGAAATAAAAACCACCACTGGTCCCAATTCACTTGCTTTTAGAGACATTAGATCTTCAGTTTTATTTTTACTTCTCCCTCTTCTTACCTTTTCACTACCCTGCTCTCACTAACTTGTATTACTATCAGCCGTTCAGAAACAAAGAGAAAGCCCCCAAAATTACAACTCTTAAAGCTCTTTAAAAATGACTACAACTTAGAGGTAAGTTATCCAAATTCTGTGTTTACAGTAAGCACTGCCATGCAAGAGAGCACTGTGACAGCACTGAAATCCCTACTACACAGACAAAACTTCCTTCTCTTAACTATGGACCCATCTTTACAGCTTCTTATTTCCTCTTTCAGTACTTACTTGATCCCTTGCCCTTCCACTTTCTGAAGTATGAAGCACGATGCAACAGTGGATGAACTTGAAGAGTATCAGAGAAAACCTGTGTGAGAAATATGAAACTATGGAAAAGGGCTTCTAATAGGGTGAAATGTATCTTTCATGGATTTACTCAGCACAGGCGATGCTCTGCTGGAAACAGAACACAACATATTTCAGGTTTGAAGTAAAGGCTGTTTTGGTGAAAGGTCCAAAAGAGGATGGTTGGAAATCAAGGTCAGGATGGATGCACAGCAGCCTTGTAAATGGGAACTTTTCTTATGGTCTAGTGAAAAATTCAAGGCCAACATTTTTGCTTTGTAACAGGGTATATCAAAGCAGTGAGTTAGAAACAGGCAGGCAAAAGTCGGAACTAGAGACAGTAACAGAGCAAATGCACTGCCCTGTGAAGTACGCTCGCTTTCAGATAGTCACTTATCACAGCAGTTCTGTGATAGAGGCAACAGACCATTCCGTTCTCCTTGCTGCATTCGGTTTCACACACGGCTATCTGCCCTGAGCACCAGAACAGCTTGCTTGTTTTCTTCCAAAGCAGCAGCCCTTGCTTATGGAGCTCTATATTTGGTCGTAAGCCACTGAACATCAAACAGCACAGACCCTTTCCTTATCACAACTATTTCCCTGAAGTGCCCAAGAATGACCACATCTCGTTCAGCACTTCTCAAGCTATCTTCAGCTCCAAACTTAGATTCTTCCACTTCACCCCTTATATTACTTCTAGTGCTTTGTTACAGAACAGAAATGCACCAAATGAAACGTGGGGCCGAATGGATTTCTTGACAAATTTCTCACTGAAATCAAGAGGGCTGGAATTTCATGTGTACGCTTCAAGACGATAGGAAGGGAGTGTTCACATTTATGAAATGGGGGTTGGATATTTATGTGGTGGCTATTTCTGATTGTCACTGCAAGGGCATGTAATACACAGCCAGACTGCAAGGCAATGGGGGCAAAATTCAAGCAGCCAGGAGGAAGACACCTGTGTTCCTCACATCACAGATGTATTTTAGGTGGACATGCACATTTATCTCAATTTCAAGCTATTTCTGATTATGAAACATTCTACAGCACAGTATGAATGTTGTACTTAAGCTGTTGAGAGCTTTTAACTGCTAAATATTCTGTAAAATGTTTGGCATTATTGAGAAACAAAATGATTTTCATCATACGTAAAAATGTCATCCATTTAAAAGTCCAAAACAAAGCGTCATTGAATTTCACATAAATGTGATGCTGTACTTCATTCCAAGGTGGAGAAAAATCTTAAAATAATCTACTTTGTTGTTGTTGTTTTGTTACCTATGCGAGCACAGTGTCTGTAAAATAACCACCTTCCTAGGTTTATAACGTGGTGACAGCTTTGCCCACCAATAGATGGAAGAGGGTACTTGCTAGGACTGCTGACATACCTTCAGCTGTAAGTGCTGGAACACGCTGCAGGAACCCTTTGTTAATTTGAGGCTGTAGGAATAAATAATTAGTGGGGGTGTCTGATTACCCCATAGCAGCACAGGTCCTGATGTGTCTGTCGCTGCACCTCGCCATGACGGCTATCTGGAGATGCAGCAGACTGGCTGTCGAACCTGCATGCAGCCTCTCTTGTGTCCAGCCCCACAAACACCGTTCTCTCTTTCCTAAAGGGAGAAGTCTCGTACATCTTCGAGACCCCAAACGTGATATTTTAACTGTGAAAATTAATAAGGCAGGAAGAAAACACTGAACACTAACAGCCTATTCTTAACAAGAACTCTTCAAAATGAAAATTACTAATACCTCAGTCTTTTCAATCTCCAGTTTCTAAAGCTCCTTCATTTATACAGAGATAATTAATAGAGCATTGAGCAATTAGGGACAAATGAAAAGTTTGATGACAATTAATGGTAAAGTACCTGCTGGTGACAACACAAGATAACAATTTTTGATCTTCTTATCCATAATGCATACACTGACTGAGCACTGCACATTACTGTTGTGCTCTATACAGCCAGCACAAGGTAAACCTGACTTAAACTGAATGCGTTTGTACACTTGGCACCTCCAACTGACACAACAGCATGCATCCCCACTACTTAATGTACCCCAATATGCAGAGTATTTAAAAGAAATACACATACATGTGTTACATATGTGTTCATATGTATATTGGCACACCGCCTATTAGCTTAAAAGTAACCCAGGAAAGTGTTACAAAAATGTACCCATCCTCCGTTAAGAGTACCAAATGTCAACTTTTGATTGAATGATATTGGTTATTGTGCGTATGCAGTCACCTAACTCTGTGTGTTCAGAATTGCAGGGAGATTATCTGCCATTACCTATAGCATGTCCTCAGATCTGAGCTGTGTTTAGAAAGTAGATACGTAGACAACACGCTTTTGTGCTTGAAAGCCAAGCAAGTGTGAAGTTTAATTAGAAAAAAAAATAAAGTACTTCTAGATTCATACTTAGGGTATGGGCACCAAAATATTTTGCACTGTAGCATCTCTGTTTGCATTTAAAGAACACGATTGTGAATCAGTGAGCTTTTGATGGTAGCAGTTCTAGGTTACCGTAGTGCTGCTGTATTACAACATGGAAAGCCACGTTTGTTTTCTCCATAGGCTTTAATATGAGGCTTCTTGCATTGTGTTAATATTAAGCACATTCTTGGGTTAAAAGCCAGTGTCAGGGATGAGCATCACAAATGCCTGCCTGCTGCGAGGGCTGAACAGCCCCCTGGAGCCACCAGCACCCCGAGTGCAGTGCAGGGAACAAAGAACACAGCAAGACCCGTGTTCTGTGCATCACACTCACACCAGTGTTTGCCCTCACTTTATAAGGAGCTGCAGCTTCAACCAGATGCTAATTTATAAGGAGCTGTAGCTTTAACCAGAGGTTGCCCAGATGTTCTGGTAACAGCGTGCTGGAATGTATTCACACCAATTCAAGAGATGACCATTAAAAAGCATACCTAAAACACCTCGCAAAGCAAAACGAGAATGACATTTTATATTCACAGCTAACCCACATGGGCAATAAAACTAACTGGCTCCTAAACTTCGCGGCTAAAGAAGGCAGGGAAGGAAAGCTCCTGGGAGCTCAGTGCCACATCCACCCGGAGCTGTGCCACGTCTTGTCGAGACAGCAACTTCTGCACCGCGCTCAGCCTTCACTTCCAGAGCGCCGCGACTTCGTAACGCCGTGCCACAGCAACAACCTCTGTCGCTACGAGTTTTAATGAATCCCTTTGATAGGCGTTTAATAAACGTGTGGTGTGGGAGAGAGAGCCGTTATCGAGCCCCCTTCAGCCCGCCGTTCGCTGCTTCATCCCGCCGCGCCGGCACAGCGCGATGCCAAGCGGCGTAGGACCGGACAGCGGCTCTCCTAAAAAAGAATCCACTCGCTCACGCCCTGAGGTTGGAACCCGGCTCTCTAGGCGAGCGTTTAATCCCTTCAAGGTTTGTTACACACAGCCGCAAACTTTCAGATGAGGGGAAAAAGAGGCACAAGTTGTGCAGCGCGAGCCTGAGGTAATGACGGGAGCCTGAAATTATTAACTTCGGAACGACGTTGCACCTTTTGAAAATGAAGATCGCGAACTCTCGCAAATACGACACTGCTGTTCGTAACATGAGGCAGGAGAATTAACACAACGTTCCGCCGCTTTCGCGGCTCCGAGCAGCGGCTTCTCCCCCTTCTCGCTCCCAAAGCAGCCGCCGCCCGCCCCGCATCCCACCCGACGCGATTTAGGCTAAAATCCACCGAGCCCCGCCGGCGCGCACCGACACACGGCCCCAGCTCCGGGCACCGCCGCGCCCACCCCGCCGGGCGATGCCGCCCGACCCTCAGAGTTGCTCTCGGGGCTCGGGGCACTTACGATCCGGAGGACGCCCTGGAGCAAGACGAGCGGCAGCGGCTGCAGGTGCACCATGCTGGCTGCCGTCTACGAGGCGAATCCCTTCGCGCCGGCCTCGCGCATCTCCGCTCCGGGGAGAGGGGGAGGAGGGGGGGGCAGGACGGAGCGCGGGGACGCGCTGTCCCCTCACAGGGCGCGGACGGGCGGCGGAGAGCCCCCAGCACTGCCCCGCCGCTCCGCGCCGCGCCGCTCGGCTCCGCGGGCGGCCATGGCGGGCGGGCGGACGAGGAGGGGGGGGGACGGAGGAGGCGGGAAGGAGGCGGCCGCACCGCCGACTCCGAGCTGCGGGGACCCCTCAGAACCGGGGCGGGGTGGGACCGGGCTTTGAGGTGGACCTTCCCGGCAAGTTTAAAGCCGAGGCGCAGCGGCCGCCCCCTCCATCCCTCCGAGCTGCCGGGGCGGTCCGTGCCCCCCGCAGCCCGCCCTGACCTCGCACCCCGCGCTCGTTCTGAGAGGCGTGCGAAGCGTCCCGCCCCACTGCCTGGCGCTTCTGTGCTTTCCTCGCGTGGGTCTGAACCCCCAGCCGCACTGGAGGTGGGAGGTTTCAGTTTTCAAACCCTGCCCGTTATTCACAGTTTAGTTTCCTAATTCTGGCGGCTCTGTCGCGTCTTGTCACCACACCCGTGTTCAGGTTACACTTTGACCAGCCCTGCGTCTTCAGCTTTTAAAACACCCGGCGGTGTTAAGAGCTTTGGAAGCGCCTGGGAGAAGCCGTGAGTTTAACGCACGATAGCGGTGATTCCTGGGGGTTGCGTCCCACTGGCTCCTTCCTTAGACCTGCTGCTGGATGTCTGACAGAACGTGTCATGGGATGCGAACGAGCCACAAATTGCATTAATATCATCACAGAATCATAGAATCATGAAGGTTGGAAAAGACCTCTCCGATCCCCAAGTCCAACCCCAGCCCGCCCCACCACGCACACTGAGCACAGCCCTCAGTACCTCATCTCCACAGCTCCTGAACCTCTACAGGGACGGTGACTCCACCACCTCCCAGGGCAGCCTCTGCCACTGCATCGCTGCTCATTCTGAGATGATCATTATTTTTTTTTTTAACCTAATTCCTCCATTTAAGTTGAGAAACTACACTGAAGCGTAGCAAAAGGAGACTATATCTAAACTGTACAGCTCTAAAATGGAAACTAAATCTGAACGGAACTACTCTAAGGTGGGTTAATATGCACCAGACTCAGGAGATTCAGAGAAATACCCAAACCAGAGGCGCTCGCTGAATCAGTGAAGGCTGCTCCGAAAGTAATGCCTCATATTTTATGATGTTAGCCCATGATCTCACAGGCAGATGTTGGGGTACAGCAGCAGAGGTTGAACCTTCCCACCAATATTCTGTGATATTTTGTTGTTGCTGTGCCACACATGGGCAGCAGAGGGGCAGACAGAATGGTGTCTGACATGGAAGGGTGTATGGAGCAAAGGTGTGTCACTGAACTCTTCCATGTGGAAAAAATGGCACCCATTGACATTCAGTTAATGACTGCTGAACGTTTATGGAGACCAAACAGTGGACGTGAGTACAATGTGGGGTGGTTGGTGTGTTTCAGCAGTGACAACAGAAGCAGTGGGTCACCTCCCCTGGGGCAGATTGTTATGAGCGTGGCATGCAGGCTCCTGCTCATCACTGGCAAAAATGCATAGCTGACCGTGGTGACTATGGTGCAAAGTAGTGTTTTGCAGCTGAATTTGCTTTATCAAATAGTGCTACTGTGCTCTTTGTGTCTGGAGTAGTTTCCATTGAATTGAACAGGAGGCATTACTTTTGGAGGTAGCTGTGCACTATAATATAACACAGTTAATTTTTTTAACACTATAGGAAAGTTCTTTTTAAACCTTGACTTTTAGCGACCTTTTTTAATATAGAATAATCAACATAAGCCACATAAGTTAGGACTTAAATATCAGAATGTAAGCCCCCAACTCTCTTCCTACCAGGGCAAAAGAAACGACGATCCCTACAGCACGCGTGAGTGGAAGGATCTCTGGCTGCGCACTCGGCTGTCCCTGCGTTCTGTGCCCGGCCTCGGCTCCCTGCAACCCATGCAAACTCCTCGGGCGCTCTCTGCTGCTCGCAGTGCCTCACTGCCCGCAGAGCTTCTGTGAGGGCTTCGTTTCCCCGTGACGAATCGCATTATGCAGCGGGGTGAAGAGTATTATGCAATTAGATAGACTTATGAAGACTGAAGTCGGATGAAGTATTTAGATAGATTTTTTTTTTTTTTTTTTTTAATGAAAAGCTGGGCTCTATAAATTCAAGGAAAGCTGAATTTCTGTAATTGGCTTTTAATGGAACAATAGCGTTTAAACTAAGTACTGTAGTTCTATCCTATTAAGTACAAACAGACTCAATTTCAATGACACTGACTTTGTCACACAAGCTATCAGAAGCTGGGCCTAAATCATACTTTTTCCAGATTAACCAGCTGCAAATGTTTGTAAAGTTCTTTGAAGATGAGAAGTACCATGCACATTAAGTGATAAGAAGTATTGTTATTTGTACTACTTCCCAGAAAAGTCACAGCAATGTTGGTTAAGAACGGGATGTAAGGCTGAGCTCTGCATTCCCTGCATGGCTTTGGCTTCAAACATCATTGGAATGGGGAAGTGAAAATTTTCTGGTCTAATTTTAAGCACAGTAACAAATAGTTGCTTAATCTCAGGAAATAATATTTGCAGGAATTAATCCTGCTGTTCCATAAATGAATTGATGATACGGCTGCCAAAAGTGAAGTGAGAGCTAGGTCCTGCTTTGTTTTGAGACAGTGAAAAATACCTGTTTAACACATGTTCTGTAGTGCTCATGCACAAAGTCAATAGAGATGTTTGTTCTTTGTCAAGTTGTTTATAAGCACAAACAAGTTCAGCCTGTAGTTAGCACTGAACTCATCTGTCATTTGACCCTAATTCAATTCTCTTGTGCTCCACACTGATTTAAAACATTGGCTTTGACCACTGCTCTTGGCTCTCTGTGAGAGTGTGAACAGATTCCACGTAAAATAAAAAAATTAAAACTCCTTGAATCAGGGTGAGCATCTAAATTCAGATGCTAGCAGTCTTGTGGGACATTATTAATGTTTATTCTGTCTCTGTTGGAAATGCATTCAGTGATACATGGTGTTATCCTGTTTTCAGTTTCAAGAATATGTCACGTACTTGACTGTAGTGCATCTCCTTTGCTTTGCTGTAAGCAATAACTTCAACTTTCCATTAGAATTCTTCTTGTGGTCCCTGATGTGTGTGACTGGGTACGCTGCGCAATTCTGTCTTCTTTCTTTCTTCTGTTTCAGTTGTTCCAATAACGTTACCCAGATCCTGCACGCTGCTGACAGCCTATCAGTTCTGTGTCACCAACATGTTTCAGCAGTATGCTCTTAAGTTTTAACTACTAATTAACTTACTGAATAGTAGTGGTCCCAGGATCAATTCTTGATGAACTTTTTGATTTCATTCCAGATCTGTAATACCATCTGTTAAATCATACCTTACGCTCTACTTAACTTTCCTGATCACATTCTACAGCATATCCAATTTTTTCCCCACGGGACATCCAATCCCATTTTGACTGAGGTCTTGATAGATGACTCTATTTGACGTGTCTAAAAAATTATTAATGTCATCAAAGATTGGTAATGAAATGATCATCCTACTTGACAAACTTCCGTTTTTTGAGGGGGAAGAAAAAACATAGAAAATAAGACAAGGAGGAATGGTTTTATACTAAAGCAGGGGAGGTTTAGGTTAGATATTAGGAGGAAGTTTTTCACACAGATATGAGGCACTGGAACAGGTTGCCCAAGGAGGCTGTGGATGCCCCATCCCTGGAGGCATTCAAGGCCAGGCTGGATGTGGCTCTGGGCAGCCTGGTCTGCTGACTGGCAGCCCTGCACATAGCAGGGGGTTGGAACGAGGTGGTCAGTGTGGTCCTTTTCAACTCAGGCTATTCTATGACTCTTTGAAAAAACACTCAGTCCAACACATTTATTCCATTTTCTATTTACCTATGTTTTCAAGCCTTTCTTTTTTTTTCTATTTCCAGTGGTTGTGCACATTTCTAAAACTCATGTTTGCTGATACCATATTTCTTGTCCTTGGGGAGAAGAACTGAATTTGTTTTTCTACATATATATGCCATTCCTGACAGTACAGATCCATTACAAATGCTTTCTACCTGACTTGCAGTTTTCTGTGCTGGTTATTTTATGTTGGTTCCCTGAGACCACTTCTGTGTCTAGACCTGTCTGAACACATCAACTGTTGGACCCCAGTTTTGCCATGGTTTTTAGAACTTCCATTATCACTTTTTTTCCCTACCCTTTGTATTATCTACATTTGCCTAATATCCGGAATCTTCATTTATATTGAAAACCAAAGCAAAGACTCATTTTAGAGTACATCTCTGCTGTCTTCAGTTCTTTTTTCATCCTAAAGAAATAGTGCATTGCATTTTTCTTTCCATATACTCTTTTATGAGGCTGAAAAAATGCTGGCTACTTTTCCATTTGAATTTTTATGATTCTCACTTTATTACACTTCCTGACCTCTAATAAACACATTAGCTTTCATTATCAATCCTTTTTGTCATTTTTGTGGCCTGTGCTTATCTTTTATATTTTATCTGGCTAGGCCCAGCACTCCTGACACTGTGACATTAAGAACCTTAGTTGCCAGCCTATTTTTATGTTTCGATTCATTGAATTTGGTCAATATAAAGTTCTTTTTAAAAATCACTGTAAGCTCTTTAAATGTTGTAGCTATGCTGTAAGAAAATCAGGCTGTGTAATTTTTATTTTTTTATTTATTTTTTTTGTATGCAGTGTATATATAGTGACTCTCATACAGTTTAATAGAATCATAGAATGGCCTGGGTTGAAAAGGACCACAGTGCTCATCTAGTTCCAACCCCCTGCTATGTGTAGGGTGGCCAGTCAGCAGATCAGGCTGCCCAGAGCCACATGCAGCCTGGCCTTGAATGCCTCCAGGGATGGGGCATCCACAACCTCCTTGGGCAACCTGTTCCAGTGCCTCACCACGCTCTGTGTGAAAAACTTCCTCCTAATATCCAACCTAAACCTCCCCTGTCTCAGTTTAAAACCATTCCCCCTTGTGCTTTCACTATCCACCCTCGTAAAAAAAAAAAAGCTGTTCCCCCTCCTGTTTATATGCTCCTTTCAAATATTGGAAGGCCACAATGAGGTTTCCTCAGGGCCTTCTCTTCTCCAAGTTAAACAAGCACAGTTCCCTCATACTTTCTTCATAGGAGAGGTGCTCCAGCCCTCTGAACATCTTAGTTGCTAAATCTTAATCTCACCACTTTTTCTTTATGGCTGCAATAACAGCAGCATTTCCTCTTCCTTTTCTATCCATCCATTTCCCTCCTGATTTTTCTTCATTTGTGCTTCCCTCATTCATCTGAGGTGCTCAGCTGTCTTTATGTAGAGCTGTAAGCATTGCTTGAAACAGAGATTGCCTTTCCACTGGAATTTTGTATCCCATCAGTTAACTCTTTTTCTCAATGCAACTAGTGCACTGGGTCTCTCTGTCATGAGCAGTCTAAATAGAGAATAATAGTCTGCTCCTGCTATTTACTGCTGCTGCTCTAACTCAGTTAATGGATCCGTGCAGCAGTGCTGACAAGTTCTAGTTCAGCTGCTGAAGGAGTTTATTACACATTTAGATTTAAAGCTTGCTTTCAGAGGGCTCCAAGTGATCACAGTACAGAGCTGTCGTTCCTCTGTACACCACTTTTGATCTTGGAAACCATTTGAAAGAGTCACCAGTACCCACTGGCTCCTTTTGAATTCCTATAGTACATACATATTCAAAGAAGTTTAGAAATGAAGCAAGGAAAGTATCACACAGTTCAGCAGTGAGCACAGATCAGTGTGCAAATAATAAAATCACACCCAGGTCAAATTCTATGGACCAGTGAAACGTTTTCAGTAGACATGCTGGCACTACCAGAAGAAGATCAGTGAGAGCAGATCACCTATTAAATGAGAGGCAGGTTGTAATGCCAGTCAGTACATTTAAACCTTTTTATGAACGTGAAAGAACGAATAAAAAGAGAAATCCAGGAAATTAAAATATAATGAGAGACAAAACACTCGAGCAAATATGAAAGGAATTGATACGAAGGGAGCTAGAAGGCAAATTGGTAAAATAGTTAAGTTTCCATAATATATATGCTATGGCTAGACACATATAAAACAGGATCATGGCAAGTATTTTATAAGATGTCATACTGAGAAAAAGTACTGCTGAAAATGTTGTTTTAAAGGCAAGTGACTTGTCTGCAACCGGTTAAAAAGAGCTACTCAATAAAACTGGCTTTAGAAGTTGTATCAGCTAGAGTTACTGTAGTGCTAAATATTCGTATAGAGCAACCATAGCAGCTGAGGGCACGGTGTCCCTGCATTAATACTCTCAGACTTTTTTCACCTTCGCTATCATTAATGTGATCATCAGAAATGGATATATCCTTTCACCAGTTAATTTCTTGCACAGGAGTGTTTTATAATTTAGAAGGGACTCTCACGAGATTCATTTCTGTTGCAGCCTTCCAATTGATGGTAGCTCTAAAATGTTGTTATTTTTCAAAGGTTTTTTGCAAGTGAGAGTTTTAAATTTTTAAGTACTTTTTTTTCCCCAGAGCATATGAATAAATAGTATCATTACAACTGTACCAAGTTGCTTATGTTTGAACCACAAGACAAAGTAAGCACACCTGCATTATGACAAAAAATATATGCAGTGTAATTCTGCTAAAAAAATTCCTGCTTAACATTATGAAAAAAACATCAGAGAGCCTTGCTAAAATGAAGGCTGTGACTGGAGATTAGAATTTGCTATTGCATTCATCTAGTATTGAAAATATAATGTGATCTTTGGTTCAGTGAACGCTTCCAAATCCACTTCACTTTCACCTTTATTACAGTTCTAAGTCATAATCTCTTACATAAAAAGAAGCAATTTTTTTCCACTGTCAACTTTCATATGGGGAGTGATTATAAAAATCTGCATGGGACACGTGTGATTGCTGAGTACCAAGGTGAACTCTGGGTAAAGCAACTCAAATATTGAAATGTTTTTAGAGCTTTAGCTAGTCAAGAAGACAGAAATACAATAATGTGTCTAAATGAACTTTTTCAAAGGTAGAGTAAAAGATACATTTTTAATATATTTATAAAGGGGTCACGCATGGTTCTTTAAATGATTGTTTTTCTGGCCAGTTTGACCAAAATGGTTATCCCTTTGTTCACATCATTTCTAACATAACCAGTGATTTGAATCACTGATAACAACACTGTGGCCAGCATCTACCTTCATATATTTATCAGCAATTGTCAGATTGTATTACTCTGTTTGTCCCCTGCATGCAATTCATGGGTAACTTCTACACAGCTATGCACAAAGTAGGCACCCTAAGTGCATACTGCAACAGCCTCCGGTACCTTTTGGGGGTTAAAATGCTTCATGAAACATTGAGAACATGCATGATGTTATTGGAATAGTTTAGAGCAGGTCCACAAATAACACAGGTGTATGAGAACTGCTGAGTTGCGGCCTGAACCACTGATTGAACACCTGGGGAAAGGACCCGGTCAGCTCTGGGAGCACAGGTGAAGGCAATTGATGGGGTGGAGCCTGGCTGCACCTCTCTTAGACCTCATTTAAGGGCTGTTTGCCACTGGGGAAGCTTTTCTTTCTGGAGATCCTTTCTTGGTGGAGCTTCTCTGTGAGAACCTAGAATCTTCTGAGATAGGTGAGCAATCTTCTTCCTTCATAGCACCTTTTGTATTGTGCTGGTCCTTCCATCACTGGTTTTGTAATGCCTTTCCCATTGTATTTATCTGTCCAATGCTACAACTAAATATGTATTCAGTTGCTTCTGGATGTTTGTACAAATTTGTGTGTTTTCTTCACCATCTTCCACAGTGCCAAAGCAATTTTTCACTAGATGGCTATTTATACATGAAGAAAACCTGGAATCTGTCATGCTTTTCTGGTGTCAGTTCTGGCTGCTGATGGCAGTACCTTATGGCAGGGTTTGTGCCTCCCTGGCTCCAAGCTTGTCATTGCACAACCAAAGTGAAGAGCAAACACAATACATGCTACTGGTTTCCTATACTCAGTACCTTAGAGATAAGATAAAGAATTGGAGCCTTTAATGCAAGCCCTGTTGCTGCACGACTTCTTATAGGTGGTGCAGAACACTGCAGCTTCAAGTTAGTTACTCATCAGTCTGTCAGCTGAAACTTAAAAATGTATTGAATTTTTCTGCTTCAGAACTCTGAAGTTTTCTTTGATATCCAACATAAAATTTTGAAGCTTAAATGATCAGGAAAACCAAAACAAAATGAAAAACCCACCAGCATTTAACATCCCTAGCTTTTAACAAGGACACTGTTTTTCACTGTAAAGGTGATTGTATTCTTTAGCATCTTAATTTAGGCAATGATGACTGCCTCTCCCTCTGTCTTCCTCCCTGCTTCACTCTCTTGTAGTCCCTTTTCCATCTTTATCAGTTCTTTTTTTTTCTATTTGTTCTCAGTTTTGTGGTTGTTGGCCCTTTAATGTGGCTGCACCTGGTGCAAACATCAGCCTGCTGCAATCACTTAAATTAGTGACCCAGCTGGGAACAGGGTGGCTGAAAGAGGGAAGAAATGTTTCAAGAAGGTGGCTGAGGATTGTGGAACTCAATGTAAATCTGATGGTTTTTGTTTAGAATCCAGACCTGAAACACTGAAGAGATTTGGGTGGAGCAGTGCTTTGGTTCTTCAGAGATACAGCTTCCCTCTGTGGATGAAGAGAGGCAGACCTTGCCTTCCAGGACAGCCGTTAGTGAGATCTGGCATAGCCTCCTGTGAAGGTGCTTGGTTCATTCTGAGCACGAAGAGCTCCAGAATAAATCAGAGGGACTGAGCAGGTCTTCCTGAAACAAGGTAGGTGGTGTTTCTTTTTCTTTCTCCATTGTTGTTGTTTGGCTTTGGTTTTGATTTGGCATTTGCTGGAACTTGGTTTGAAAAATCTGTGAACTCTGGAGACTGGGTGCTTGGCATTTGAGCAAATGTGGGAGAAGCCTGGCTAGGAGAATTGTTTCTTGCTTGGATAAGAAGCCTAAGAGCACAGGTATGGGTTTGTAAATAAGTTTGTGACATATTGCAGTCAACTCTATTCTGTCCTTTGCTGCAGAAAACTTGTCTTAACAAGGGCAAGCTGCCTGACATTGGTGGTGTCGAGGCATTTGCTGTGTGAGTTAACGTTCCAGGTTGTTCTGTGTTGAGCTTTGGTTTTACCCTACTCTGAATTTTGGGGGATAGAAATACGTATGAGGATTGCAATAAAGCAATGATGCCATGCTTCTTTGAAAGGTCTAGAACAGATCAAGGTGACCCTGTCTTAAAAAGTGGTAGCAATGAGTCTGCAATGGCTTTAAGGTTATGGGAGTCCAGGGTTGTTGTATTGGGTCTGATACATCTGGCCTGCCTGGAAGACAGCACTTCTGCTTCAGGGCCATAAACCTGGAGTGGCTGGGCACTTAGAAAAGGGGTGTTCAGCTGGCATCTCTGAAGAGGTTTGCTTCCTTTTATGGAGGAAGGAGGCATATATATGTTCTGTTGCTTTCATTTTGATATACTGAGTCTTTGAAAAAATCTGTCACAGTCATTTTATCTAACTTGCAGAGTTCTGTCAGTTTTTGTATTTGTAAGACTAAGCTTGAAAGACCTGCGGAAGCCTCTTCAATCTTTAAAACTCTCAGAATTGGAGAAAGAAAGTACTGACAGATTAATAAACTACTATTTTTTAATTCTGAGGGTGCAATTGAGAGGGAGGTGGAAAAACAAGTGTTTGCCCAGGTGGATTTCAAGAGTTGGGCTTCTTGAATCAGTAGAAAATTCTCCAAAGTGTTATAAAATTAAAAAACAGACTTCTTTGATCTGATGATTAGTGGAAGCAAGTACTACTGTAACTTTTCAATCAGCAAATATCATCAATAAAGTAATGAAGCAGGGGACGTATGCTTTGTAGGATTAAATAAATCATGAAAGACAGCCTGGGATTTTGTGCAGTCACGCAGTTCTGTCTTATTAATCAGATCAAGGAAGGCACGTGTAGTCCATCTAAGTGCTGGGAGTGGAAACATTACTTAAAGAAACAGATGTGCTCAATGATGTATTGCCTACAGGTCAAAATTCATTTCAGGAGTCAAAATCATTGCTGTGAATAGATAGTGCTCCATGTCTTGTCATCAGTGACCCTTCCAGCCAGTGCAAAGCAACAGTAGACATAAACTTAAGATGTGTTGTGCAGGTCTTGCACACCAGGGCAGTTTGACCAATTAACCCTGCAGTTTACATTTCATGCTGTGCTAACAATGCATTTTGGATGAAACTTGATTAAAACAAACAAACAAAAAAAATCATAGAGTATCAATTTACTGGGGGCAGAAAAAGCATTTGAACTTTTTTTTTCCCTGCAAAGCAGGAATACGATGTAGATGGACTCAAGTGCTGCTTGGTAAAACATGCCAGAAAATGTCATTTAGTAATTGCAGTTCCACAATTCTACAACATGCATAGCAGTTTCCTTGAAATACCACTATTAATGTTCTGTGGCAACTGGTATTTAAGATGAGATCTGTTGACAGTGGTGCTTCATGTAATGTATGCGGTAACAAAGCCTATTGCAAGGAGTGGAAAGATGCTAGGACATTGAGCATAGAAAAAGCACTGTAGTGGGGTGGTTATACTTGTTGGCTATACACAGCAACCTCTCTTGTGCTGATGCACTCCCAGAGCATGCAGGTTCTTAAACCACCATCAGCCCTCGTGGATATCCTGCAGTTACTCCTCAGGCAAAGGCAGTTGCTTACCATTTCGGGACTGCTTAATGAGACTCCAAGCATGATCAGTCACCTTGTAGTATGCATGTAGTCTCAAAGGAAAATCATTGACTGTAGACAGGAGAGGTCATTCAGGATTGCCACGAACAGTTTCTGATATTCCTGCAGTAAAACTAAACATCATAGGCGTTGAACCATCTGCAGGAGTAAGTAGGCCTATTGTTGTTTAACTTAGTACAAATGGGGAGGTCTGGCATGTAATTCTATCTGCTTTTGTGCGATCGGTGCTCCTAAACAATAAGTTGTCTGCTGCTATCACAGTTGAGTCAGAGTTGAATGAGGTGCGAAGAGGTCCTTTTATTTTAAGTGCTCTCTGCTTCCTCCCAGCTGCAGGATTTGACAGTAACTGAGAGAGTTCTTCATCAGTTAACGTCAGTAGTTGTGTGTTTTTCCTCAGAACAGCCTGTCATACCTGTAACCCTCTTTCTAGGGGCTCAGCTGCCTGTGATCCAAGCCCCAGCTTGCGCACAGCAGGTCCGTGTAAACGCAGCTTAGACTTCTGAGAAATCTGTGATGCTGATAGAAAGCATCAGATATAGAAGTACAGGGAATATAGCCTGCCAAATAGGAAAGGTGAAACTACTGAGATAAGGTTGGTGAGAGTTGTATAGACAGCAGCTCAAAGACTCCAAAGGAAAACAAACATGAGTTGTTACACAACTGCAAGAACATAAGGGGTCAGAGGATGGCAGTGCTGCAGCATTGAAAAGAATGGAGGAAAACCTTCCTCACATGATGTGTCTGGTTGGTAAATATTGGTTGGATGTCATCTCTGGAGCAGTGACCTTCTGAATGATTAGATTAGACTGGTTGCTCATTAATCCCTGAAATCATCTCTGAATTGGGCAATAACCAATTGTTTTGTATTTTTGCATGTGAACCTCCAACTCCGAGATCTTTATCCATGATAGAAGTTGGCTCAGGTGACTGAGAGAGGGAGAGTAAGGTGGACCCAAAAATTTCTCTGCTGAGAGGAATTGCACTAAGTCATGCCTTCAGATTGTTCTGAGCACAGCTTATATCCTCAGCTGATTATACACTTACATCTTACTTCTAATTCCTTTCTCTTGTTCAGGACAAGGCCAGGTTATTAAAAACATCATCAGACCTTTCGTCCTTAGGCAAAGTACAAAGTTTGGCTGTAGTGTCTCTTATAGGTCTCAGCTGGCCTCTGCAGCTGGACTGCTTCTTCAAACTACTATATCTTTCATTTTTTGGTCTCATTTTCAAATCATTCAGTGCACTCAAGGAAAGAGTGAGAATACACTTTTTTTTCCCCTGAAACTTCTGTGTAAGGAGAACTGGGAGATTTCATGAACAGTTACATGAAATAGTTCTGCAGAGAAAGGAACTTATGTAAGAATGGGGGATGCCTTATGCCAGCAGTAATAGGAAATACACTGTGAAATTGTGGATGAAATCTGAGACTATTTGTTTACCAGCAACATTAAAAAGATGACGGAAGTATTTTCTTCTTAACGTCAGGCACATCCAAAGTTTTAGCTTCAGTGATGTTAATTGCCTGCATGATGTGTGAAATATGCTTCTGTCCCTGGTAGCCTGCCACATAAACCAGACTTGTAGTAATTTTTTGAGGGTGATGGTTGCTTGATGCTTCTGTTATTTGTACCAGAGACTTCACCAAAACATTGCTTGCTACAGAATGTGGCTAGATTGCTCAGCTCAAGCCTACTTCAAAGCCATAATTGTTCACTGGTATTAGGCACAGTTGTAGAAGTTTGCTGAAGTGGTGAATATGGATAGTATTAAACTATAAACATTGTAACAGTGGACCTAAAGTTTTCTTGTAAGCAAAGCAATTCATCTTTTGGGTGAAAAATCCTTAACAGTATGCAACATGTCTAAGAAGAATTTCAGAGCACTATTCTACAATGCAAAATAGCTTTTGTTTAAGTTTTGAAACAAAACAGGCTCAGCAGGCACCCAGAGACTATTTTGTCCTGGCTGGATGTCCAAGACGAGACTAAATACTTTTCAGATACAGAATCAATCAAGAAAAAAATGTATATACAAGGTAACTAAAAGTATCCAGGCTCCTTGCATCTGCACACACAAATTCATTCTTTTTCTGACTTGCAGACCGTATTTTGCATCCTAATAGTGGGGGCAGAGGGCAAGAAGTTGGCTTCATAATAAATTTTGATGTGTTTTCTAAGTCAACTTAGGTGCTATTTAACCTAAGCATTTGAATCTGTTCAGATCAGATATTACTGGGGCAGTTTAATGGCTTTTCTATTTACCAGAGACTGCAACCATTCTCTTGCCTCTGCTGGGCTGTGGTCTGACTTCTATCACATTTCAATATCAATGCTGTTTTCCACAAATGACTTCAAATTAAGTGAAGTTCTTTTTCCTATTGTTGTTCATCTGTACATGGAGTAACCCATCCTTCTCTCTATGTACATATGTGAAGTCAGCTCTGAAGAATCTTCTGTTATGTAAACTCACCCTGCTTTAACAAATACCATGAAACTTATCTGTAACACTGCATGTGATCTTCATATTTCTGAACGTAGAACAACGTTTCTGAAAGCAGATAAATTAGAACTCCAGTTCTAATGGAGGAGGTCCCATTCCTAAGATATGTTACAGAGGTTAAACTGGGCTATGATGCCCAGTTTATGATTCCCAGGGAGATGGAAAGCTGGCTTGTACCACTGGGAGCAGCTGGTGGGTTCTGGCATGTCTGCTCATGCAATATTATTGCTGTTTAAATATATATTGACATTAGATCCTGTTGCCCCCTTTTTAACCTTGCATTTGTCAACTGTTACCTCAGAAAAGATTCCTTCTTTCCTTTCTATATTATGATACATCAAGCTTATTAAGATGCAAAGAAGTTCATTTACTCCATTAATACTTCTTAGCAATATGATCAGTTTTTGTGTCTTTTCAGTTCATCTTTTTCAACTCAAAGCACAGTGAATTTCAAGGTTGAAAGGTGGATTTTTTTTGAGATAGACCATGGTGATAACTGCCTGGTAATGCTGCCCATGAATGAGCAGGTGGTTTTAACTT